TATTGAAAAGCCAAACATCCAATTCCACTTGGACAACGTCTAGGAAGTTGGTTGCGTACGTGATCGCGTTACAGACTTAAATTTCTCACGTGCTTCGTCACAGAACTTCTTGCGAAGCTGGCAGCCGCGCAACCCGAGCTCGAGCGAAGAGCCGCGTAGCCACGAGGATTGGACGATTTTTCTTTTAAATCGACCGATGACGTTAGGGCATAAATCGAGCTTGCGAGCCGCCATGAAAGTTTGGTTCCTACAGGGCGACTAATTGCAAGCTCAGTGAAACAATTCCGGCAGAGCATTAATTGCGTCAATGAAGTTTCGCATTGTCAAAAGCGACGAACTTGACAATTTGGCAACGCGAAGCTCACAAAGGGTAATATGAAAGCTTACGCTGGTACGGAGCTTTTTAGATATTTTCATGAGACGATAAGCGAATACAAAACCTGAGACGATAGAATTTTCTAGTCGGGGCATCGAGCAAATTTTTCAGAGTCGGGGTGCCGGTGGATTGAATGCGGATGAGATATTCCGGCAAGAAGGTGAGAAAGGGGATAGGGTGGCAATGGGGTGACAAAGTAGGGCGAAGGAAAAGGGTTGAGAAGAAGCGAAAAGAGGATCGACAGATTGCATTCTCGAATCCGTGTTCCGGCGGCCTTGTCCTCTTGTAGGTCAATGAACCCGAGAAAGCTTCGTTACATGTGAGAAGCTCTGCGACGTGAAGCTTACGCAACAAGGCCAGCATCGGAGCGGATCGAAAGCCTCAAGGAGATATGGCAAGGATGTACAACACGTGAAGCTGAGTCCAATCGAATTATAACTTTTTAGGCGAGTGCTAGAAGGGACAAAAACACAAAGTGATACGTGAAAGCTCGATCGTAAAGGAGTCTGCGAAATTTTTTTTTAGCAAAGAAACTCGAATGAAATTCCTTCCTCGTAACGTTTCGCGCGAAGGAAAATATTGAATCGTGAAAAAAAAATTAAAGCTTCGCTTTAAGCTGTACGCGTAAGCTTTGCGAGGAGGCGAAAGTTCAGAGCGCGGTTTTGAAACGCGCGTACGAGCTTACGTTGCATGGGAACTGAGACATCGTCAAAATAAACAGTGAGATTGGAAAAAAGTTCTTGGGAGGTCGGGCACACACTCACGCACTGCAAGCACAGATGAATGAGATGTAAAGCTCTCGTTGTTAAGATATGTCTGCTATCGATCGATTAAAGTAACGAGCCTGACATTTAAGGAGAAGATACTTCACGTGTCAGTGGGACAACGCGCGAAACCCGTGTGCTTTCCGGGCCGCGTGAAAGCTTCAACTGAGCTTTCATCCCCCGCCTATGACAGTCCTAAAAACTTACGACGGCTCCTCGACATTGATCGTTCCTGCCGGTAAGCGCGGGCTCTGTCATTTTTTGGTATACCGACAGAACACAGCCTTCCAGTTTGCTGTGCGCAGCAGCTTTGAAGCTTTTCCAACTAGAACTTGATTAAAGCTCTCCGTCGTACCGACGTGTGGCACGAACAAACTCCGTCGGCATTATACTGAACTTTGCTAAACTTTCTTGTTTCCCAGTGAGCTTATGCCAAAAGTACATCGTACGCTGGTAATATAGCTGCCGACTTTCCACGCAATTTGTCGTAGTAGCTTCGAGGATCACTTCAAAGGTCTGATGAAACTTTCGAAGCTTTTTAATATTCTGAGTTACGATAAGTTGCAGTGAACTAAGTACATTTTCGTGTAAGTAAGATTTAATTAGATTTCTGACAAATGGAAATATTTCAAAGATCTCTCTGACGAAGAATCAGCATAAGCTCCCTAACCAAGACGTAAATTCGAAAAGAGATATTCAAGCGTGTCGCAAGCTCAGACGGATACAGATATTTCCAGCAAATCCTAATGGCATAATGTGAATTTCACATCGGCAACATTCTCGGAGGGCAGTATTACGTCGTAAAGCTCTTTCGCCGGTGGGTCGCGCGCTTAAAATATAAATTTAACGCAAATCTCGGCTATTATTGCATTTTACGAGCCGCAAGCTCATTTCTTACGTCGACAATTTTTCGCGATGAACAACAGAAACAGAGACGATATAGTCAGATATTACTATGAACGACAATAAAACGTGAAGAATGAATATCCCATCCAAAAAAAAAAAGTAGCGGGCAAACCAAGGAAGAACAAAAAATCAAGATTGTCGTGGAAGGTAGGGGAAAAAGGGGAAAAAACATATACAAAAAAAAATAAGAAAGACGAACCCCATGTATAGCTTCTATGGATTTCATTCGGTTCCGAAAGTTTTCCGCACGGCACACGACGCGACAACAAATGTTACGAGCTTTACGAGCGCCTCTCCAAAGGACGACCCATAACGGAAGGTAACTACTGTCGACTTCGCTCACTCGTAGAAGCTTTCCGACTGCCTTGTCTTTCAGTTGAATGGTTAAAGCTCTTTCGCAGGACGAAGCTCTTCCGGTATAAAGTACACAGGCAGTACAGGTAGTCACACGAATCTTAAATATCAGAAGCCACGAAGAAAGCCATTCAGCGATGAGCTTTAAACGTATCAAACAAAGTCTGAGGTTTAAGCACAGAGCTTTAAAAGCACAGTGTAAGTGGAAGTTTTCGACAAAGCCTTGATTAATATATTAGAGTTGGTTTGTCGCCGTTGAAAATTTTATGGAAAATTGTACCTACCGATACACGTGATAAACTGTGGAAACAAAGAGAACGAAAGAAGCCCGTAATGACACTCTATAAATTGTAGATGTAATGAGTTATAAATTTTGGAAGAGAAAAGCACTTGCAATTCAACCACGGAAACCTCGAAAGCTCCTTGTATTATAAGTTTTGCTCGAAGACCGATCAAGTGTATGTATGTACGGTTGAAAAGCTCTGTAGTAAGAAAATTTTCCTTGCAAGCTGCAAGCTTCGACGTACTGGGTGCTTATACCTGAATGATATTTTAAAGCTCTGAAAGAAACGCGATTCTCGATATACCTTTTCAAAGCTCTGTTATTCTGAAAAGGAATAAAAATATGAGGCTTGATTTCTTTTTAATTATTGAAAACTTCTTTACCTTGTATGGGTAGAAAAACAATATGAAAAAAATTATTTCAATTTAAGTTCTTCCGTAGAATAAGACTTTAAGTATGCCGTGTGAAGTACGAGACGTAACCAAAGGTCACCAACGCCGATTAAGCTTGTTACGGAAGCCGTAAGCTTCGATTCTCTTAGGGAAGTAAAAGCTCTTTCGGCGGGTTGTGCTTTCTTGTTAGGATCAACATCAAGTCAAAGCACACTTTGTTTCGTATATGATACCGCAAGCGGTACAAAATATACTTGAAAAATATGATAAAGAAAAAAAAGCTCCCATTTAAGATACGCGCTCAACAGAGACAAAGATAGTAGTTGAATAGTACTCAAAAGCGTCATACTCAAAAATAATTGTTGTACAGCATAGATTAAAGTGTATGTCGAGTAAGGAAGGAAAAACAATAATCCCGCGAGTAATACTGATAAATAAACTATAAAAAAAGAGGAAAAATTGATTTTAAAGCTCGCCCCCCTTAAGTACCAGTTTATCTTAAAGCCAGTGTCGATTATCGATTTATCGGTTATGGATTTATCGAACGAGGCGTCCACTGCAGTTTATAAGACTGCGACGACAGCGACTGTCGCGGCAAAGACAAGAAATAAAAGGTAAGAAAATGAAGACGAAGCACTTTCTTCGATAATTTTAACATCGTCGACGCTGAGTGCAACTATGCTTGCCGTTGACAGACCTGCTGCTCACTGGGCGTTGCTGGTTCTGATATTGCTATCAAAGATTACCATAGCAAAAAAAAACAATATAGATGGTGCAATCTCAAAATTTTCATCATATCTGTCTACTGAATAGATAATGGTAGCATTTTGCGTAAATTTTTCCCGGCAAAGCCGGAGAAAAATGAAAAAGCAAAATTCGCTGCTTTTATTTTTCTTTCAGTACGGATTTCTCCCTCATCGTCTCCAGGTTACCTCGAATGTATACAACCACCGTCATTGCTCTCGTGTAACTCTCTGCCTATTTTTCCACGTAAACTATCTGACGTTTATGGCGAAGAAAGTACTAACGCTTGGATTTTCTTATCGTACAAATACCACGCCTCGCTGAGCGAATTTTATTTATTGCTATATCAATATTATAGTCATTAAATATATAAAATATATATTAGACATTAAATGACCAATAGCTGAATGTGAAACTACGTATATCGGCTTAATGGGAATTAAATTAAAAATATATGGAATTTATTGCCTGATAGAAAATCAAAATTACGTTACCAACTATCCTTTTTTATAATTGATAAAACTAATATTTCAATTTACATGGAACAGAGAGTTCTGGCAGGCAATTTTTAAATGAATAGATTGAAAAAATTTTATTACAAAATTTCAATAAAATAGGGTCTACCAGAATCACGTGTTATCGTGGTAGGAAATGAAATGCGTCAAAAGGTGATCCGCCAGTTTTTAAACAGCGACTCTATTTCGTTTAGTCCTATATACCAGTCACCCCTATAAATCCGTACTATGGCAATAGAATCCATACTGCAATGATATCGACAGGCGATATAAAAGTAAAAGAAAAAAGTATTATACAATATGCAAAAAAAGCAGGGGCCTCATAAGAAATTCAATTCCGCTCGAATTAACTACGTAATGCATACAAAGAGTCACTTCTATTAACGTAATTGCAGCATAAGAAACGACGTAAAAACATGTACACTGAATAAAGATGAAGTGAAAAATATGAGAAAGGGTGGAATTAATATTTTTCAAGTTAATGCTTTTAGCGTCTGGCGTTTCAACCATAAAAAGGTGTACAAAAGACAAATCCGCAAAAAAAAAGTAAAGAAAAGTTGTTCATAAAGCTTCTAAAATATGTTCTTACCACTGAACTCAGTATACCAAGTTTTCAACACGCTGTTTGTGTACGTGCAAAAATTAAGGCAATTCTCTGTGACTTACCTTTGGGGGAGAGGTCCTTGTCGTCGCCCATGTAAAACGGACCCTGCCGTACTACTATTTCATGGACGATCACGGCGAAGCTGTACACGTCACCCTTCTGCGTTCCTTCCGGCGGCGGACGTTCCATTCTCAGCAGTTCCGGCGAAGTCCACAGCTGCCCTGCAATGGACAATAATATTTTTTTTATTTTATCCTTTACTACGCCATTCCTAGTTCCATATCTTTTATTTCATAATCCCACCATCTCCTTCTCTTAGACTCATCTATTCCACTTCCACTTTCCTTGCCTTCTCTTTTTCTTCCTTCATCGCCATTCCACCTAAACCAAGATAATCTGCTACTATCCCCTATCGTCCAAGACTGTAACTTGTAGCAGACATTTCTGATCTTGTAAAATTCTTCACTTTCCATCACTCTGATAGCTCACAGATCGTTTCACATTTGTTTTCTAATTTTGAAAAAGGGTCTCATCCCCATCGATCCCCTAGGCAATCTTCAAACCAATAGATCTAGTTCTCACGTTTTTTTCCTAAGACCTGCCTCTTCTTGGTTATCCATAGAAACTTCTTTGGGTACCGTGCAACATAAAATTTTGAATATTTAAAAAAAATTTTATTTACTCCTTTCCAGCTAGTTCTATATTGCCCAATGTATACATATATACTCCACATAGAAATCTATTTATCTATCTTTACTTCTCAATTAAGTGGTATCTGCATGATCCTCATTTTGGAATATTTTTAAAAATATTATTTACTCCTTTCCAGCTAGTTCTATATTGCCCAATGTATATATGTATCCTCGACACAGAAATCTATTGATCTATCTTTATTTCACAATTAAGAGGTATCTGTATGATCCTCATGTTTTCTCTGTCACGTTCATAACTTCTGCGACTCTCAGGAATCACGTTCGAGTCTCAACATTGGACCCTGCCTCTCTCAACTTCCAAGAGGACCGCTTTAGGGCCCTTCTGCTTGCCGCTGCTCCATGGATCAAAGGACCTCAGTAGAAATATCTTTTTAACAGAACCTTTACGCGACGCTTACAAAGTGGCTGTAATCTTTAGAAATAAAAATCAGACCACGCCTGTTCTCAGAGATCAGCAAGACCAACAAGACTGTCGCCAGGTTAAATGCTAGGACCAAAGGAGACTCAAAGGAGTTTAAGAGCCAATTTCTCATTCAAACGAATTCAGAATCATGAGACGTCTCAGCAGCCACTCTGCAACGTTTTTCCCAATTCAACACCAGACAGCATATAGGGGACGGGAAATCCATTCAATAAAAGGTCATGAGTCTCAAGCAAACGTTAATTCCTTCCTTGACGTTTATCTAGATGATGGGTGGATTATGAAATTATATTTTTCCAAATTGTTTTTTAAATCTGTTTGCAATCTATATACTTACTTCTCCAGTATGCGTAACTATCTCTGTCCTCTTCCTGATCCGCCAAACTTGGTCTTCTCAACTCGTGTAAACCAAAATCTGCTATTTTCAAGACGAATCGCGAATCCACTACGCAATTTGAGGACTTCAAATTTCCATGACTTCGTATTTCCGATCCGTGCAGATACGCCATCCCTCTGACTATATCGTGTATCAAGGACCCTCGAAATACACGATCCAGCTTTATCTGATCGTTCTCCAAAATGTCCTGCCAATCAAAAATGGAGACTGATTAATAAAACATGTAGTATACACTCGTCGTAATCAATAGCACGTAAATTTACGATCCCTAACGTTTCACATTAATCAATCTATTTTTTTAATAATAAAAAAAAATATATTCAATTTTACATTAGGAAGGAGATAAAAATCTGCTCCACTTGAACCAAAGTGCTTCCCCACTTTTCGTATATGATTTACGATTAATCGACTTCCTGTTTCCGGAATCGGGGGGAACGTCCCCAGAGCACCCTTAAATTGCAATAAAATGGCCGATAACGTACTTTCCATGAGACGTTCGTTCACGTTGAAATAATAAGAGTATCTCGTCGCTTGCTTCCGCAGCCCTTGCTTCTAGATATTCCCAAACTACCCTTTATCCTCTCTCTCTCTCTCTCTCTCTCACTCACTTTATATATATATATTAGGCTCACCCCTCTTCTCTAGATATTCCCAAACTACCCTTTATCCTCTCTCTCTCTCTCTCTCTCTCACTCACTTTATATATATATATTAGGCTCACCCCTCTTCCCACACTTTTCTTTTATCCATTCACCAGTCACCCTTCTCTCATAACAGCAACTGCACCGCATCATCAACCTACCACCCCACCGTCCCTTTCTTTATCAGGTTCGCGGTTTCTCAGCGACTTCTTTCGTTATCCATTCTATACCCTTCCGGTCGCCACCCCTAAAGAGGCACCCTCTTATTATGAGATCCCATATATCCGATCCCACCCAGGAGGTAAGAAGCTTGTTCATTCTTATCGTCAGATAAGAGCAATAAAGGTGTATCTCCATTGTAAAATCAGTCCATTCATCCACCAGCGTCACTTAATAATCCACTATTAATAAATAAATTGTCTCACGATCCCCCACCAGCGAGAAATCACAATCTCTGTTCAATAACACAGCCGTCACTACCAGCCAACAGAAGAAAAAAAACTACAACAAATTGCTCAGCCACACTGGACTCGTTTCTGTGGAAAAAAAAAATTCCATATCCAATTTTTTTAAACCTGAAGCTGAAAAGCCACAAAAGAAATATTGGCTGACCCTCTCCGTATTAATACAATCCATATATCGAAGGGTTGGGAGGCTTTGCTGGAGAGAGGAGAAAACTAGAGAGAAAAAGAGAGAGAGGTAAACCAGAGAAAATATTTAAGGACGAAAAAAGAGAAATCCAATGTATACAAAAATCTTACCTGAAGAGATCCTTTAGGACAGTACTCCGTAAGGAGACAGCAATGTGGTGGCTCGACGCAAGCACCATAAAACCTTACGAGGTGGTCGTGTTGGAGGTCCTTCATCTACAACAGGCAGAAACGAGTCTACAGTCTGTCGCATGCCCCTAGACCTTACGCACAGCCTGTTATGACCTAAAGTCAATTTTGAGATACAAAACCAGACCATGACCTGGCATTGTCTATAAAAATATTTGATAATCTTCGGCATCGACATTACAGCATCACTGAGGAAGATTTATTTTTTTTTTAAATATATAAATTTCACTTTTTATTTAAATATGTAAATAAATTAGTGACGCAGTAACGTCTAGTATAAATATTAATTGACGTATCGTAAATACCTATGGAACAATCCATCAGGGCTTACCTTCTTCAACTCCAGTAAAAGTGGTCTGGATATCTCAACCTTGCTCCTGGGAATAAACTTGATTGCCACTTTTGAATTCTAAAATGAAGTACCAAGTACGTTAAAGCTTTTAATTGTATAATTTTGATGTTTCTATTTTGAAAAATCCATCAACTCATTGTTTACCACAACCAAGTCATAATTACCTTATAGATACCAGTAGGTACGTATATCTGTCTATCGACTCCACCAGCCATACTGATGTTATCCTCGGAGTACATTGTCTGAAACGAAGAAGTACTTCAGTTCGCGGTATCAGGTTGGGTTGTTCAGGGAAAAAAAAAGAAGAAGCGATCCTTGAAAATTCCAAGGGCTTCTTTTGCTAGTCAGTGATCAAGAGAAGTGTCCGTGAAAGGTATCTGAAGTAAATAGTGATTAGTCGAAAGAGAAGGGCTTGACCGGCGTAGGGTGAAGAAGAGGTAGTAGGGCAAGTACTGAAACTTCTTTAGGATTTCTTAGTCAAACCTGATCTTGCTCGGGTCCTCGAACCACTTCGTGAAAAGAGGTCCGATGATCGCCGGCAGGAAGATTTAATTTGTGAAGTGGATGGAAAAAGCCAAAAATGAAATCTCATCGTGGAGTCGGATACGTGCATAGTATTTTGAAGAAGGGGGTCAGCCATATTTTTCTTGATATTTTCTTTTTCTTCTTGATCACCGTGGACGAGCGATGAATGGCGTGATTTACTCTTTCCCTTTTTCGCGGACGTTTACTCTCTCTCTCTCTTTCTTTGTGTATCCTTCTTGAGATGTTCGGAGAACCAGAGGACGGGTTTATAATGATTTTCATTGCTCTTCTATCTGTCTCCTTTCTTTTTATTTCTCTAGACGATCACTCCTTCTTCTTCTTCTCTTTGTTAATGGCTACCTCGTTACTGTTATTACTTGTATCTGGGTCATCGAGTCCCAATCTGACTATACATCCTGTATATCTGTATGCGTAATATTTCGAAATTTTTTTGAAAAAAAAAAAAAAATCAAAATTTACCAGTTGGCTTCCGCGCAGCTTATTGGCAGGCAGTGAGTACATTGATCCACGTGTCTTTCCGTGAGGCATCACGATCACGTCATCCCAGTGCACCTTCCACGTCATCGACGCAATTTCAGCCTCGAGTTTGAAGTGCCTGAAAGTGAAGTTGTGCGCATTATGTTGGAGTATGCAGTGACGTAGACAAGAGACATAATAAAAAAAAAAAGGAGGGAATAAATTAAAAAGTTTGTCCGTGAGAGAGTGACAAAAGGACGAAGGACAGAATTTATGAGAAAAAGAAAAAGAGAGAAATGATTAAAAAGAAAAAAGATTTTAAAAAGAGACAAACCGATAATCATCGTTAAAATTGTATCATTCGTCTCTCTTGATATTGGAATGTCGAGCCTTGACCTTGGGGAACTGTCCTTCGACCCTATCAGACGCTATCACTGTAATTCATCGCCCAATTCGCTGTCACTATATTTTCACAGGTCGATTCACACTTTTATTACTCATTTTATTTATTGACCTTTTTTTTTTGTAGGATCTTTGTTTTTCACGACTTTCTTACTTGGCAACACAACCAATTTTCGGGACAAGAATAATTTTCAAAGTTGGTTAGGAACAATGGGAAAATATTTTCCTGGTAGAAAACTTTTTGACAATTATGGAAAGGAGAGGAAACTTTTTGAATTAAATTCACGAGCCAGTGACAGTCTAATTGGGAATCGGTCAGGGAGTCTTTTTTAAAAGTTTTCAGAGACTGACGCTTCGATAACTTTCGAACGAATTGAAAATATTACAGAAACGACCGTCTGTCAGAAAGCACGTTAACGTGTCCAATAGAGCGCGTGTCGACTTTTCATTTTCAAACGTTACAAGACAGTGACATTTTTTAATAAAATTTTCTGATTCGAAAGAAAAATTTTGAAAAAATTCTATCAAGCCCTTTTTGGTTAATTACGTCAAACATTGCGAATTAACACGGGTTAAGAATCAAGCAAAAAATGTGTAAACTCTCGCGAAGAAAATGGTGCTTCCACCGGATTGACTAGGAACAAAAAAACAAAGCCATATTTCAAGGAGCCTAAGGACGCCAGGATACCCCTTAGGACATTTCTTAGCGCGGCGGATGATCGTCGGTTAAAAAAAATTAATGGCATGCATTTGCATAAGAAAAGATATTGAAAAGAAAGTACAACCAGAGTCAAGAGGTACTAGGTAATAGTAAAGCGAAAAAGAGGGTCGAAGAGGTCAGCCAGGGTCAGTAAAATATAAGACTGATTTACCTAAAAAGCAAAAAAAAAACCACCAAATTGCACGATTACAACAGTGAAAAGTAGATCGACGAAAAGATACGAAAACCATAAAATTACCCAACGCCATAATTACTAATGACCCACATAGCGGGAGCAGCAACAAATAAGGTCAAGATAAAAAAAATTTAATTATTACCTAATTAAAGTAAAAAATTAATTAATCAGATAGCCTCTACATCCACAGATTTCATAATGACTGCGTCAGCCGGCAATAGCAAACAATTGAAACAAGCACAAAATATGTTATCCGTCAGAACGGTACAGATGGAATACAATTTTGAAAAAAATATTTTTAAACAATTGTCAAAATAACCTCCTACGTGATTAGTACAAATGATCGTATACCGCGTTGCATGTGTCGTCATTATTCTGACAGCACGCGAGCGAATACATACGTACGCTGCATCGGCATAATTCTCAAGCATTCAACCATAATGGTAAACGTGCAAGCACCGCCTGACGCAAACGTAACGTAACGTATATTCGTATGTTCATCTGGAGGACAGATTCTGATACATAATGCATCGACTGATCCTGGTATACAGGATACAGATCGTCTTTGTGCCTTTGACATGTTTGCCTGGGAAACGTGGCGCGTCGACAAGACCCTTGGCAATTCAATATATTTGTAAATGCAAAGACTCAAGAGATACCCAAGACGTCAGAATACACGTGGCTATGACGTATCGGGTGTCCTGTAATATTCCAGTTGGATTTCCATATCTTCGTGTTCGAAAGTTTTTGTATTTTAACAAAAGTGATAAAGCAAAAACAATGGTGCTTTCGATTGAAAATCATCAAATGGTTATTTAAAGTGGCGTAACTCGAATACGCGTCACGAGGCTGAATTGGAAATTAGTAATGGGTCATGAATAATTGACTAATTGGTTTCCGCTATTGGATTTCCTGGACGGACCTCTGATACTGGTAACAATTGATTATTGGATCGATTTGGACAGTGTTGTATCAGACAATAGTGTTGCTATCGGACAATATGATTTTGTGATAACTGATAAATACTAACTGTTAGGTTAGAGTTGGATATACCTGTACGTACAGTTGGGGTTAATCGGATCGCATGCGAACGTGAAAGTTAAAACAACGCATTCGGCGAATTACGGGGAATCAGATTGGAGCAAAAGTACTGGGGAAAAGCTGCAGTAATATTAAGGACTGTGAGGTTAACAACAGAAACAAAAGCTCGCGACACAATTGATACAACCCCCCATGAGCTTTCAACAAATAAAACTTGAGCAAGAAAAACATTGGAACATTAGCAATGATACAAGAATCAATTAACTTGTCGTACAATCAAACAATGATAAACAAGTACAAAATATAATCGAATATACAACATTTTTGACAGTAACAACAACAAATTATATCGACAGCTTCAATCGGCGATATTGAGCCTGGAACCAACAAGAATTATCGTGCAGATCAATATTAGAGAAATTACTGAGACTTGGCTTGTTTCTCTCGACCATGATCTTTTGATTCATCAACAAAACTAATGTAACTATTTTACACAACTCAATCAATAGTTAATTGTCGATTCCATATATGACTTGAGCAAGTTTCATCAAAGTTACCGTTTCAAGTTACACTTGAGATTCATCGATGCGAACGTAAAGACGATCACAGAAAAGTGATGCGAACTGGTCCATCTAATTAAACAATATCCGGTAGCCAGCAGATCGGAAGCGGAAGTCGTCTGGTACCGAATAAGAATATGAAACCGAGTAAGACGTATCTTACGAGGAGTGTTATAGATCGTCTTGGTAAAATCTGCACAATTTTCTTTGCACGCCGGTTTATTGCTGCAGCTTGACGACGTAGGAAATGGATCAATCGCGTAAATCAAAGGCCGAGTTAAACAAATTTAAAGCGTAAATAGAATGCAGGGATAAATATCGAGCAGACAGACATTTTCCAAAGCGGAAATCACTGCTTATAAAATTAACTACAATTTAAAAGTCATTCGATTTCCGGTTTCAATATTTCTAAAAATTGTATTAATTTTTTTTTTTTTTTAATGGACTATACTTACCGATATATGAAGACAGACGCTACCACCAATCCTACCACGATGGAACTGAGTACGATCGACAAGATCGCGTATCCTGGTAAAGCTGTAATGAAACAATAATGCATTGTCACTCTCAATCGTTAACATAAATTTATTCGGTGAATATATTTTATAGTCTCATCTCGCAGAAGATAGAATCGTCTGGCTGTACAATGAACGTTATAAAGGATGACGCTCGGGTCTTTGAGAATGCTAGACAGTGGAGTTTTATAAAGGGAATAAGAGATTATGTAGTTTCGTGATGATACATTGTTTTTGAAACGTGACACTGGTAACTTCGATACGACCGGATAGAATGTGACATTAGAAATGCGGCAAATGAAAATCTAAAAAGTGCGGAGGAAATTATGTAATTTAGAAAAAATTTACGAAAATGAAAAAAAAAAGACAGACTCGAAAATTCTATAGACAATTCTTGCAATAGAACGGAATTTCGTTTGCAATTAATTAAGCGAGAGAGAAAATAAAAATTCTTACAATTATCTGGACACAGAGAGCCGTCGAAACCGCAAGCAGGGGTGTCAGGGGGTGGTTCCAATCTTCCGCCAGACCAATGAATTCTTCGACCAGATACGTATTCCAGGGTCTGATTCGCCCCGTAGTAATTGGCGACGATCTGCAAACGTGGAAATTCCGAGGAACAAAAGTTGAGTGGTGCGGGGATGAAAAAAAAAATATATATATAATAATAAATCGTAATCGAACAAGCCACCGAGAGCACTAATCCCGCGATAATGGAAAAGTCGTCGGGACACTGAGAGTAGATACCCGCGGAGAATTAATTAAAAACAAGAATCTATCCCGGACAAGTAATTCCCCAGAAAAGGAGAGCCCGCTTCCGATTCAGTAATTTCATTACACGAATTAATTACTTGCCATTATTAATCTCCTTCTTGGAAAGTTGGAAGTTTTTTTTTTTATTATTATTGAAGAAAAAGTAAAGACCTCAGTATCGTTTGTCATTCAAATTCTTACCATAATCACATGGGCAATAATAATAAGAATTTGCCTCTGTCAGGCAATACAAAATTACCTCAAACTTCGAAGTAGCAGGATTCATGTCCAACAAGGAATAATCAGCGATCCTGTCGCCATTTTCGTCGATATTCACGTCACCCGTTATACCTGCAACAGATAAAAATTGTATTCGATAACTTTCATACAAAGCCGAAACAACCTGACGAAATGACACCAACAACAAAATATGTTCGTAAGATGATTCAAGATGTTTTTGTTACAATAAAATTTTTGTCGCTAGTAAAAACAAAGCATGTTTCACATACAATATTCTTGTAACAACAAGAAGAACAACAACAAAGTCTCAAGTATCTTCGTACTTTTCTACATCCACATTGTTCGGTGACTGACAGCCACGAAAATTCTGTTCGATCTCGCAGAATTTTCAGTAAAAACAGACAGTATCAACTAGTTACAATAATTTGACAAGTCCTTATGCACCCTTATACATATACTTCGTCCCTTCTTTAGCTTGTTTGAAAGGTCCCTCAGGTTTCTTCGTAAACTTTATAATCCATATGCAATTTTCATTCTACATACCAGTACAGAACCAGCCGCAGGAGGCTCTGCGTCTTTGAAATTTTTTAACTTACGAAAAAGAATTCTCTTATCGAAAGAGGGTCAGAGTTGAGAAAGTTTTACGTCCGCAGAGAGAGAGAGAGAGAGAGAGAGAGAGAGAGAGAGAGAGAGAGAAAGAATAAGAAACGCACAAGAGAAAATGATAGAACGAAACGAGAAGAACGTCCCCAGGCGAACATCCTGTTGGGAAAAGAATTCAAAAAAAAAAAACAGAAAAAAATTCGAGTGAATTTTCTTTGCGGTGGGATGTATGGGCGAGAGAAGGGATGAAAATGGGAAATAAACTATAAAAAGAAGTCGCCGACGTCTTCGGACAATTAAACCCGTCGGAGACCCCCGACCAGCTTGAAAATTGATGATTGATTTTTTGAATGGTACTTTTTTTCAAAAATCATTTTACACGAACAAAAATCATTGCCGATTGTAATTCGTACATGAGGACTTTATATACAATTTTTTGTGGCAACAGAAAATTTCATTTACGCAACCCTCTTGGGACTGTCAAGGAATCCGATTGAGAATGAAACAAATAAATTTACCTCGAGAAAGAACCGTACGACATATTGACAAATGGACATACAAGGTATCCATTATTTACTCATTCATCGGATATAAATTTACTGAAGTCTACTGAAACTTTTTCCCACGTCTACTTGCCGATAAACTTCTCCCGTTAAAATCGAGCCCTTCTTAACTTCGAGCGCAAAGTTACTGCCGCCTAACCACGGTTTTAACGGCAGCCCTAACGACCCGCAATAAGAACGCTTCAGAGACGCTCGTGTACTTCGATAAAGATTCCCCTTCGCGTTGCGCTAATCTTATAAGGCTAATTAACCCTTGATTGTTCATAAAAAAAAAAGCTGACGCTTTTATCCTAAACGTTTTACATACGTTCGTCCCTCTGGGTCACTTGCCATTAGTCATACTTAAAGTTGTCATAAGGGACGCTTCGTTGGGGCTCGTGACATCACGAGGAGGTACGGAAAAAAAGGGAGGCTGAACAAAAAAAAAAATCTGAAATTTTATCACGTTCAATTCAACTGGGAGACAATATGGAGATACAAAAGGGAAAGCAACGTTTTTGGGAAAAATAAAAAATTTTACATCCACTCCTGAAACTGATAAAACGTAAGAGACGTCTGTATGCGATAAGAAAATCGTGACAGAAAAACTGCACCCCCCCTCCCTCCTCTTTTCTTTTTTTCCATGACGAAAAGGAAAAAAAAGGTCATTCAATTTCCTCAGAATGTAATATTGACGACGAAAAAAAAAAATATCAGAGATAATACGAGAGAAGACCAATGGAAATTCTAACGTTGATTGGTATAATAATAATAATGGATAAAACAAAAGCCAACAAAAGTCGGAACGATGACGTAATATTATTAATCACCAAGTAAGTCTGAGGGAGACGTATCTGATTACAGGGACAATAAATGCAATCCATTAATCAATTTGTCGTTCTCATACGTTGTATAATGAACGTGAACGAGACACTAATTTCAATTTAATGAATGATGAACAATTTAATATCGTAATTTGATGATACATTAAGTGACGTTGAATCAACCATTGTAGGTAGGTAATTAATTATTCTGTCAAATTCTTGTTTTCTTATCATTGTTTCAAGCTTGTATCAAGTTGTATAGTATGGCACTTGTTTCATGAAGTTGCAAAGTCCTTGTGTCAATCATCGTAACAAATTTGACAACTGGACTTATAGTTTCATCAAAATTGAATTATCAGCTGAGTATAAAAAAAATTGATTTTCAATAAAACTTTTAATTTTCACTTCAATTTTCGTTCATTCTATTTGTATTCATCTCTTATATCTTTGTTCAGGAAATGTATGGTGACTCGACACTGTAGCCCTTTTTTCCTCAACTTGATTAATGAAGTTGGTTGATCCTGTCAATTCTTAAAGTTCTTTTGTTTGCTGACATTTTATTTAGAGGGAGAATCTTTTTTTTCAACAGTAAAATGGCTTATTTGCTTGGTGAACGAAAAACTATTATCTTACGAATTAACCTAATCCATATAAAAAAAAAAATGTTCAAGAACCTGACGATAAGTGTGCTTTTGTTCGGAAAATTGAAGGAAATTAAAAAAAAGGGGTTAATTAAGCTCGAAATTAACTCAACCCCTAGAACTTTCGTCGATCCGTATTTTGCCTTGTTATTCGAATAAAAACAAATAAAATTTCTAGAAATATCAAAATATCAAAAATTGTATTTACCTTTGAAACTTCTTCCCCACATACGTCTCGTGAGGTTTCCGCCGTTCAAGTTGATCTCGCCGGGTCTATCGGGAAGACTCTCCTTGAGGGCCAAAGCGTAAAGCAGCACAGCGTCGTAGAAAGCAGTTACGAACGTAGAGACGGAACTGTTTCCAAATGTGAAATTGTAACGACTCTGCGCCAATGACTTGACCTCCCGTGAAAAATTCAAATACTCCACGTTGTCCGGAGTCCTGGCCGTCACGGTGAGAAGTGCCTGATAAGCTTTCCGGGCCTTTTCATTTCTCTCATCGGTATCCCCCTCCACCCGCCACGGCTCCTCGGTGTTGTTGTCGCTGAAATATAGAATTTCACAACAAAAGTCATGAGCACGTGGTAACAAGAATTTTTGTTGTTGCTGTTGGACACAAGATAAATACAAAATCAAATTGATATTTCACTGTATAGAACTGGTATAGAAAATTTTCATTGATTCACGAACATTTTAATTTCGTGGAAAGATAACCAATTTCTACCCCTTTTTTTACATCGTAATTTCACTAAAGTCAGTGACGTAATCGTAAATGCGATGGAATTAAAAATTCAACTTGATCGAAAAAAATAAAAATGTTTGATTGGCAAATTCAACTGGTAACCTTTTTTTGTCTTTCGTCAGTCATCTAATTTATTCTCCCCCCCCCCGACCCACCCATGACGTCACCTTGCTTCACCCTCTCCTCCCACTCCTTTCATCCTTCACCATTACCTCCTTCTCTCTATGCATCTTCAATTTCATTTTTATCACTGGGTTTCCTTCACCCTCTCGTTACTCGATTTCCATTCGCACGGCGTCTTATTCATTTTGAAAAAAAAAAGTATTTATTTCCAAAGCTCCAAAGAAGAAGACGAAAAGCTTTAACTGATTTTTTGTGATTCACAATTGTGAGAAATAACAAAAATAAACAAGGTGGACGAATCAATCTTACGTAAAATTTTGTTACATGAATTTGGGGCAAATTGTATTGATACGGTATCGTAAAATTTTATTGATAATTTTCAATAATTTAATTGACTTCAACCCTATTTCTTAGGTCGCGCCTCATTACGTTTCAATTTATCGACACAAAATTCATATCGAATTTAAGTGTGCCTTGACGGTGAAGTATAAAGTATAATTAAAAACCAAAATTAGAATTTGGTTAATCAATTTTAATAACGTCGACAAAGATGCACGCACCATCCATATTCTTTGTAGATAAAACAGAGAAGAAACTTAATTTCTCTAAATTTAATCAACCTGCATCGCTCTTCACTTTTCGTTTTCAAAGCTTGGCTATACTGCGCTCGCGCGAAGTTCACATCACTTTGACTCTCGTTAAATAACCTACGGCTGCTACCCAACCTTCCTACTACGCATTGGTACACGCATCCAGCGTGCTTATTTGCTTACCTGCTTGTTTATCCGTATATTTGCACGTATTACTATCGCTTCTTGTTTACACCCCTCAAGTCCCTACTACACCTAAGACCCATCCAAAAAAAAAAAACGCCTTTCGCAATTTCAACCCTGACCCTCTTTTCGGATCGCGAATCGGCTGAGCTTTTTTTGACAAACAAAAAAAGCTCGTTGAATTTCAACGCTCGACGAAACAAATTATGCTAGTCGAGGTACAAAAATATTTGTACGGGCGTATACAACAATTGTTGTTTTTGTTGCAAGTACAACAACGTTAAATCTTTCAGAAAAGCTTTTTCGTATAGTATATGCATATACATAAGTACACACGAAGGGTTTGACGTTTCGCGAAAGCACTAAGGATCGTCATGGGGTGAAGGGGTGCAAATAGAATTCAGCGAGCTTTCGCTTGATTCGACGGACCCCGTGCAGGCAACAAGCAAAGGGGTTGAAGAGCCATAACAACCCCCATTCAGTAATCTCAACGGTTTTCCGCTCGCGTTTACACGTGGGGTTAAGCTGGTAAATTCCCCCGAAAATTTCCGCGGTTAGACGCGGCCATCGGCACCCGGTAGGTACGATACGTGAAATTTAAGGGATGAAAATATGTCCCGATCCAAAATAAGAGATAAGCAGCGAAACGCAAAATATACAAGCCAAGTGGATATGCGCAGAAAAAGGATAAACTTCTTGAATTTCATTAACTCTGGATATTAAAACACCCCTAACCAACCCTTAAAAAACTAACGGTCCATTGTCCACGAAGAAAATGGCATCCCCGGCGTCCCATTACGAAATTGGGATAAAATCTTCAAGGGGTAAGGGATACGAATTCTGCTTTCATCCCTTAAACATTTCTCGCTCGAGTTAATATAGGGGTTCGTTGCTTTTGGATTCCGACCCTCATCATGTTAAACAGAATTCCTAATCGAAATTGCATGATACTTCGTTTTTCTTTTTTTTACCTAAACGAGAGAAATTAATATCCCGAGGGTAAGCACGTTTTTCAAAAAGCCAGTTTAAAAAATGTCTCATACGTAAATACGTCACAGGTGACGGCAACTTTTTCTGTCTGCAAGACAATACACAATTTGCACTTAAAGCCGAAAACCACCCTGAAATTGGCGGAACTGATAAGAGCTCAGGGACTATGGGATTTAAAGGGTGAAAACCCAAGAGACGGCTTAACCCGTGTTAAACATGTCGCGAACCCAAACGGACAGGGTAGTTTATTTCCAGTAACAGACTCGTTTAAATCGACGCCCCGTCGAGACTATACACGACGGTATAGTCCATTTCCAATAACTGCACCTTTTAAAAAGATACATTTGCCTGTCAACCCCCCGTATTCTTGGGATTCGAGTTCACAGCCCAACCCGGCAGGTGGTATTTTCATATAGAAATGACAAGCAGCGCCATCTGTCCAATCGCGATCGCGTCAAGGCGACTACACATCCCCGCAGTTGAAAACTCACCTTGACGACAGTTCGATGGAGAAAAAGACATATTCCCCAGAATCCACCATTCCCAATTCCTCAGCAGCCAATAGGATCTCTCGTATGGTCGTGGAGTTGGCGCACATGACGACAACTGAAAACAAAGACAAAAAAAACCGATTTCGAAATCGATTACCATCATTATCCAAAAATCGTACGTTATCGATTAAGAAAATGGCGATACCGCCGTGACAATTTCATCGATAAAACAGATAATAAACATACACTCTGGGTAGGCGTCCATGACGTAACTTCGAATCGTGCAATTTTGCCAATGAAAATTTTGGCGTTAAAAAAAAATGTACAATAAATACAAAAGGAACGTTCAACATTTTGTCAAAGACGTCGCGCGAGTGACGTTCGTAAAGGTGATCCGCAAGTGGACCACAAATGGCGACCAAGTTGAATCGAAGGTTCAATCGAGCGGAGTAAAGAGGGGTAGTAAATTCAAGTTGGCGATTCGAGGCACCTTTATTCGAATTGCCCCATCTTTTTTTTTCTCAAACCATATATAGTCCAGTTCCATATAATGCATACTTGCGCATAGGAAAAAAAAAAAAAAAAAACATTAAATAATAAGAATGGACATTAAGTAACTAATTTCGCGAACCCAAGTATCTTTCTGTCGTTTCTACTTTATCGCAATATTAATACAGCTCTGATCACTTTTATAGCCCGGACTTTCATTGCAATTTTATTGTTGACCCCAGTCGACCCTTTTTTCAAATCCGCTATAATAATTTTACGGTTCTCTCGTAAGCACCTGTCGCGCCTCCACCTGGATGTATTAAAAAAAAATTTTTAATCAACAGTATTAAAAAAAAAATTTTTTTTTACCAAACAAGGCTTGTACTTAATATATCAGTTTATGAAAAGACACCCTAAAGGGGATGAATTTCATTGATTTTTTACGATCGCAATATACCAATGAGATTCTGGCAATGTAATGGCGCCGGTTACTGCTCGTAAAGTGCAAAAGTGTGTGCTGGTCGGACAGAGGGGGGGGGGGGGGGGGGGGATATTTGACCCGGAAGAAATTTGATTTGGAATATTCATACAATCGGCCAGTTTGGATTTTCAAGGAATATACGTTTAAAAGTCCCTTGCATCTGCATCGTGCACAGGCACTTGCAGCTGCAGCTGCAAACAGTGTTGGTTGTGAAATATTTTTTTTTCAGTATTATAATTCACGCAGTGTCAGACCAGACTCGCAGAAGCGTTAAGGCGAATCCGTATACTTAATAAACATTTGGGTAAACTCATCGTAAATGAAATTTCACTGCACGGTTAGACGCGTTGTTTTAATTGGCACGTCGAGACAGTCGCAAGCTGTACAAGAGCGATAAAAGCTGCGATAAAGCCAACAAACGATTTAAACGTTCCCGCCGTTAGGACGGCGGAAGAGAGAAGGGCCTGAAGGCATTTCGAGGGATAAATGTTATTGGAGCATAAAGAAACGTGGATGTTCTGTCACTTATATTTTTAGACTGACGGGAACGCACGTGGCGTTTGTTTTTGACAGCTGTCAAAATTTTTATGAAATATAGCTTCAACGATTTTTACATTGAATGACAGTTAACGTTAAATGGAAAACTAAATATACCACATTATTTTCTCGTACAACAATCATTTTCTTGTTTGTACAAGATGTGTACAGGCATACGTGAACGCTGGTTGATTTTTAAAACGTTTCACGAGTACGAAATATCGAAAGGGGTTCGAGGGGGTGGACAATTTCATCTATGTGCTAATCTTCTACTTCCGCTTTTAGTCTTCGCCAATTTCACCGCTGACTAATACTGATAAGATCCATATCGGGAAGACCGGGTTCGAAACGTATCCTACTAGTGTCTATAATTTTTTTTTTTTTTTTTTCGAAACTCATATCGAAATCCTCCAGGATTTCATGTACGACGCGTCTTGAATTGCGAACGTATGCGCTGGGAAACTTGTTACGGCCCTGGAATCTTGTGGGTCTTGGTAGCACGAGGAGACACCCGGCAAAGGCACGTGCCTGGACTATGCACTATTTGACTATGACTATTTTGGTATGTTTAATCGAAAATTCTGATAAGGCTCGTCCATGTCTAGAGATTTTATGAATTGATTTTTTTATAAGCCATAATCGTACGTGTATTATACGGTACGATATTTTTCTTACGTGCTCCGAAATACCAAACATATACATTTTTTATCAGGGGGATATTATTATAATTATTATCGTCCTTGATGCTCGTATATTTTCGAAACATTTATGTACATGTATATATATGTGCATGAATTTCCTCAGAACCTGCTAAAAAATTCACACGTGCCAAATTTAATATGCAAATCGACTCTGTTTACGTATTCCTTTCAAATTCTGCTTTGAAACAACCATCCTACTACTTGAACCTTTAAATTACCCACGTTGTAAGTACATTATATACTGTACTTGTATATGTATGTATATTATGCAACAGTTCCCTGCAGTTCCGACTGACAACGATAACAGCTTCACCGAAGCACCTTGAAATAATTTCAACGTGAAACCTCCAGCAGAGTACCGTGAGAATGTATGTCTAGACGTAATTTTGAAAATTGCATAGAGACACTGAAAAACAATAGAAACTGAATTGCCATAGCGACAGTGTAAAATGAATATCTGAATAAAATAAAATACAAGCCAAATTTATGTGCTGTGGTCGATTTACGAAGAAAAAACCAAAAAAAACTGAGTTCCAATAAAAATACACGCACGGAACGAAATTGCCAAATATTAAACGATCCTATTTTTCCAGACAAAAAAAAATATTCCGAATACGTCGAGAAATAGTTTCTCTGTAAATAATTCAAAGATATTCCCGAAAAAAGAAAAAAGGGTGAATAATATTTTATCCAATAGACATTTGAGAAATGATATTAAAATGCAAATGAAAATTTGATATATACACGCATATATTCCGTGTATAAAAATCCAAAATATAATCGACAAAAATTTGGGTAAGAGTCCGAAGAATTATTTTTGCCATAAAAATATATTTTCACGTCCCTAAATATATTTTGTAGATACGTAAACGTGAAGTATTTCACAAAATAGGGCAAACCGAATGAAAGTTTTTCGATGCAATGTCAAAATAAAAATATTACCCAGATTCGATAAATAAATATTAATTGCACGTGCTTTTCGAAAAGCTGAATTACCCAACAGAGCCAAGCGATTCGTACAAAACTGTCATTCGCATAACACGGGATGCCAACTGCATTGAAAGAAACAATGCTGCCCGTAAAACAATAACATTGCCTGACGTACCCGGTGTCAGTGGGATAAATTCTGTAACCGCAAAATAAAAACTTTTCGTAGAGACAAACTTTCACCTGTCACTCCAGAAACTGTCACTCGTTGACAAACAATGACAATTTACCAAATGACGAGGAGCCTGGATCGCGGAAAAAAAAAACAAACCAATTTTATATTAGAAAACAAAAAAGCTCGTTGAGCCCAAACCCACCTGAGTTGGTCTCATTTGACTCCTACGTTAAAACCCATATTCGGCTGGTAAGTTTGAGCCGAATAAATGTATACAACTACACAGGATATTTAACTGTACGAATTTCCTTGTTTCACCAATGAGCCAACAACAACAACTGTACAGAGGATTAATTCAAAACTTTATCTCTTCCTCGTCTCTACCTTGCTTCACCTCGCTAGCCCGAACAATACGTCTTAGAGGAATCTGTAGAAATCTCGGCACGTATCTTTCCCAATTACACGTCTTGTTACAGGGAGGAATTTTGATGGCGGCTTTACAACGAATCGCATCCACTACTGTGTAGGATTTCTCTCATGCGACTAACGTATCAACGTAACGTACATACGTGGAGAAAGGAGCATTATAAAATCAGAGATTCTTGGGAGAGAACTAGGGACTTACCCCAGACTTGTCCGGGGCTACTGGTAACGACCTCATCTGCGGGAACAGAAGAAACATAAATCGTCACACCAGATGGCAGCTGCGTCGCCTGATTAAACCGCGAAAAACGAATAACAATTTCTAACAACATTATTCTTGTACGTCCGACGTCCGCGCGTTAAGAAAACCCAACCGAAGAATTGCGAGGCATATAAATTTTTTTTTCAAAAATTAAAAAAAATTACATCCAGTGATCAATAAATACAAACCAGCGGACACAACATTGTACAGTGAAGTGAAGGGACCGATTTTCATGTAGTACAAAGTGAAAGGAACAAAGAGAAGCCGAAGTTTCGAGTGAAAAGTTTTTCAAGTATCGCGGTAACGCGTTTCCTTCGATGCAATTTTTGTTTTTTCTTTCTTCTTCCCACGGACTGCACATAAAATCTCCGCAGCTATCTCGAGAGCGAATCAATGACTGACAAACAAAGTTAGGTTAGGTCGGACGACGTATAGAGTTTCCGAGAGACGCGGACTTCGACGTTCGCCCAAGTACTTGGCGGGTAAATCGATTTGGTCCACGTGTCTTACGTTCGGTACCGGTCTCACGTAGACAGACTCGGGCGCCGAAGTTTCCACTGTACGCAAATCGAATTACGAGACTGAGAACTTAGCGATATCATTAATCGTAAATGGGGAAGTCAGACTCGGGCAAATCACAGGAGTGCCGATAAATGCCCGTGTCCCGCGTAGCTGAGGAGCCAGATGGATGAATAATGGCGAATGTCGAATGAGACCAGCGGAAGCGATGAACTTTTTTTTTACGATTTTGAAAATTTTTTTCTTAAATTAAAATTCATCATACGACAATATCGATCGATTATCAATATTTACGTAAGGTCTGCTTGTGCAACTTACTCCTGGCTGACTTGGAGAGGAACGTCAGCAGCTCTCGATAGTCCTTCGAGTTCGTCGTCTCCTGGTTGAAGCTACGATGAACCGGCGTCTGGTTCAGGGCCGTAAAAACGGCGCCCAGGGTGAAGTGACATTCCGAATTTCCACGACTGCTCGCCACTCCGTGATTGTGATAAAGAAGTCCCGCCACCTTCCAGCCGAACCCTCGCAGAATGTGTCGCAGCGCTTCGCCCACCAGACGATGCGAACCCATCATCCTCGTTAAGGTCGGATAATTCTCATCCTT